GGCCGGCCGGCTCCCCGCGCTCGCCAGCCCGCGCCCAACGCTCGGCTCCTAGACGCCCGCGGCCGGATGCCCTGCGTCCGCACCGTCCTCGGCCTCCTGGCGGCTCTGGCGGCCTGCGGCGCCGTCGCCTTCCTCGGTTACTGCGTTTACTTCGACCGGAAGCGGCGTGGCGACCCCGCGTTCAGGCGCTGCCTGCGGGACAGTGAGTGCGACGGCGGCGTGGCCGGGCGGGCGGCGGGCCGGCCCACGGGGCGAGGGCTCGGCGGAGCGCACGCGGGCGTCGGGATGGCTCCCAGGCAGCACGTGCCATGTTGTGTTTGCAGAAAGAAGAGCCCAGCAGCAGAAGGCTGCGGGACGGGGCGCCCAGGTGAAGTGCTTAGCGACGCCGAGGTGGCGTTATAGTGAGTAACCTCTGGGCCCGGGCCCCTTCTGGCTGTGCCTCAGGGGCCCCTGGCTGGTCTCTGAGCAGGCATCTCCCGCGGCCTCTGCCCACCCGCGCCCCGCCCCGCTTACATTAGGCCTAGGTGTCGTTTTTATTGTGCGGTTACAACAGAAAGGGAAGGAAGGAAGAACCACTTGGAATTATGAAATGGCCCATCCCATTTTAAAAAGAGAATTCTTGGGGACAGCAAACACAAACACAAAAGCCCTCCAGCTATAACAGACTGAAGCTGAAGTGACTGGCAGGGGAGTTGATAATTTTGGGTCAAGGCTTGTCCACTCTGCCTACCTTTAAAGACCAGCCCTGGGCATGATACCAGTGATGACGCCGTCCTGTGACTCTGGTCACCTTCCTGAACCAGGCTGAAGCAAACCACAGCATGCTTCTGAACATCACCAACTGCCCTGCCAATCCCTCGCCATGCCCTTTGCCAAATCGAAAAACACTGTTCAAAGCCTAGACAAGAAAGTAATTTTGCAACCTACAAAACTAGGTGTGTTGTAGTTAATTACAGTAGGATTTCTGGTATGTGTACTTAGGAAGCTGGGTAAAATACAGATGAGTTATTACAAGCATCTCAACCCAATTTCAATATGCCATGGATTTTTTTTTAATTGCCTGAAATTGTAATTCCATCTTAAGGTGTTGAACTATTATAAAGAAAATTGTGTTTATCATACCTTGGATTTAGAGATTAGGTTCAAGATATGCCTTCTTAAATAAAAATTAAGTAATTTTGATCAGTAACCCTATACCTTACATTCATTACTCATTGTTAAATATTTTGTGAATCTTTTAGTTGTGGGATCCAGCAAAGAATGAAAAATTGCAAGAACTTTTTCTGCAAGAGGTACAAATGGGACAACTTTGGTTATCTAGAGGTGAGAATGTAAATACTCTTTTGTAAGCATATATATATGTTGAAAAAATTTTAGATTGGTATTTATATGTCAAAAAACTTGGGGCACCTGGGTGGCTCAGTCAGTTAAGCCTCCCGACTCTTGATTTTGGCTCAGGTACGTTCTCAGGGTTGTGAGATTGAGCCCCATGTCGGGCTCCAAGCTGAGTCTGGAGCCTGCTTAAAATTCTCTCTGCCTCTGCCCCTACTCACCCCCACTCTCTCTCTCAAAGAAAAAAAAACAAAAACTAGCTAGATGTGTTAACCAACTTGCTTTAGTTAAAGAGATTTGCACTTGGTCACACTGTTCATCTCACCATATTATACATAGCATTCAGGTTTCTGTGGCAGTCTTGGGAATGAGCAGATGGAGAAGCAAAGCCAAATACAGTTAACACTTCATTTATTGTCAGGTAAAATTCTAAGTGAATGACTTTTCCAAATGACCCAAATGTTTTATGAATTAAAACTTAAAAAAATTTGAACTGTTTGGGCGCCTGAGTGGCTCAGTTGGTTAAGCGACTGCCTTCGGCTCAGGTCATGATCCTGGAGTCCCGGGATCGAGTCCCATGTCGGGCTCCTTGCTCAGCAGGGGGTCTGCTTCTCCCTCTG